AATAATCTGAAGAGAGCAAGATAATCTATTTTTGCCTTTATTGTTGGTCGATTATGTCCTTCACTCCAGTATGCTGTCGAATCCACGTGTTGGTTTTCCTGTCACGTAAGGTGATGCCTGAGCATTATTTTGGATTCAATTGTTGACTTAGGAGTTCTCATGATGTTATAAAGTTTTCCAAAAGCCGCCCAGCCAAGCGCAATCATTCTTTTGTCATCCGGAACAAGGGCACTTCTCTTAAAAATGTATAGGTCACATAAAAAATAGAGAAAAAGAATACCGAATGAACAGACCTTTCAGTGGGAGTGCAGATCTTCTAGTATTTACTATCACGAATACGCCAAGCAGTAATAGAAAATAAGGGTTTTATACCAAATACATATGTTTTTGATGGGAGCTAGGATGGAGTCTACCTTAAAACCAGGTTGATATTTACCTGCCCCAGGGAGCCGTTCCTGTGCTGGTGGTATCACGGCTACGACTGACTTGGCCCGGATCTGATCAGCTATGACAAGCCAAGCCCAGCTATGAGTAACTTAGACCAGCTCTGACGAGTTCTGACCAGCTTAGACAAGTTATGACCAGCTAAGACCAGCTTAGACCAGCGGTCTGAGTGAAAACACTCGGGTCCCCACGTTAATATCTGACCTTGTGTCACAACCTGACTCAGTGGGCGGTGGGGGGTCAAGTAAATATCTACCTTAAAACCAGGTTCGATGGATCTCTTTTCAATCTGAAAAGACTGAAATCAAAACGACTTTTACTTGAGGTGTTTATTAGGGAATTAGTTTTCGCTGATGATGCTACCATAGAGACGCTCATTGAATCGATCTTCAACGAATGGTCTATCGTCTAACGGAAGCATGTGATCTCTTCAGGTTGACAATCAGCGCCCAAAAAACTGAGGTAATAGAACAAGGGACAAATTTACGACCAGAGATAAAACTTGGTCTTTGAAAAAAAGTAGATAAGTTTGTGTACTTCGGATCCTCCATAACATCGACCCTATCTATGAAAGAGTAACTGACAAGCTGAACAGGAAAGGCCACATTAAGAAACTTATAAAAAAGAGCCTGGGAAAGTGATAAACTGAAGATAATATCCAAGACTTTAAGTTACCAAACATGCGTCTTGTCACTAATCCTTTACGGGAGTGAAACGTGGACCTTGTATGTTGGTCAGGAGTTGAGGTTAAAAAGTTTTGACATGTCTGGTCTGAGAAATATTTAAAAAAAAAATTAAATGGCAAGATAGGGTCCTGAATACAGAAGTGCTGAAAAGTGCTTGCATTCAGTCACTATATCCCATCCTGTGGTCTTGGTGTCTCAGATGGCTTGGACACTTTGTCCGCATGGATAACTCCAGTATTCCCAAACAGATACTGTATGGGAAACTGTCTGCAGCCACGCGTAACTTTTGACGACCTAAGCTTCCTTCAACGACCAATGTAAAACGTCCATGATGGAATTGTGTCTATTAATGTTGCAAACTGGGATGCCCAGGATCGAATCAGGTTGAGAGATGCCGTTTTTCGCGGGAGCAAAGAGCTTTGAAAAAGAAGAGAATCCAGGGAGCCATAGAGGCAAACGGTGGATGACCCCACACAGGAGAGATATAAAAGATGGCGGACTACACAGGGACACGTGTGGCAAACGTCTCTCCATATTTCACTAATTCTTTTGTAGAGTAGTATTAACTCAGTTTATCTAGAAATTAATAAAATGCTGTAAACCTAAAAAAGTTCTTGGTAATTATTTCCAATCATTGTTCGGTCCTCAGAACTCACACAAACATAACACACTCCTCTTCCGTATTTTTGAACAGGATTAGAGGTTTATCCCTTGTTTCCTGTTTTAGGATTGTGCTTCCGGTTCCTTCTAAAATATACTTCAAATCTATACTTCAAATGTCTCCGCCTAAAAACTAAGATTGTACTTACTATTTATTTATTTATTTTTCTTCAATAGGAGTAGATAGGTTCGCCTATCTTTGTACAGGATTAGAGGTGTATCCCTTATTTACTGTTTAGAATCGGTTTCACGATTCTTCTAAATTGCTCTCCAACATTCCCACCTAAAGTTTGAAATTTTATTTACTATTTATTTATTTTTCCTCAATATCAGGAGATAGGTTCGGTAATCGTTAGCTTTACACACTTCCCCGGCCATTTTAACAGAAGTAATCCCTTGTTTCCTGTTTAGGATTGGGTTTTCGTCTCTTCTAAAGACTACTTCAGCTTTGTACTCTTTGTCCTTTCCAACACTAATATATCTCAACACTGTAACACTCTACCTTGAGTAGCTCTTGGGTCTTCTATCGGGTGAACATTAGAAAAAAAAATCTATTTTTTTTCTTTTAGGGGTAAATATGTTCACCTGTTGTCCGGTTCACACTCCTCCCGACTTTTGAACAGGTGTAGTGGTTCATCCCTTGTTTCCTGTCTGGGATTGAATTTTCAGTTTCTTCTAAAATCTTCTTCAACTTTATATTTCTAACGTTGCCGCCTAAAATTCTGAACTTATTATTTACTACTTATTTACATTCCTCACTAGAAGTAGATAGGTTCACCTATTGCCCGGTTCACACTCCTTTCATTCTTTGGAACAGGAGTAGAGGTTTATTTCTTATTTCCTCTTTCGGATTGGATTTCCGGTCTCTTCTAAAGTCTACTTTAGCTCTGTTATCCTTGTTCTTTCCAACACTAATAATATATCTCCACACCTTAACACTCTACCTTAAGTGGCTCTTGGGTCTTCTATAGGTTTAACATTAGAAAAAATATATTTACTTTTTTTTCTTTTAGGGGTAGATATGTTCATCTATTGTCCGGTTCACACTCCTCTCGGTATTTTAAACAGGTGCAGTGGTTCATCCCTTGTTTCTTAAACTAGGATTGTTTTTCTGGTCTCTTCTAAAATCTCTGTGATCCTTGTTCTTTCCAACACTAACATACCTCTTCACCGTAACACTCTACCTTGAGTGGCTCTTGGGCTTTCTATCGGGTGAACTTTAGAAAAAAATTACTTTTTTTTTTCTTTTCGGGGTTATCGTCATCTATTGCCCGGTTCAAGCTCCTTCCCTTTCTTTTGAACAGGAGTGGAGGTTTATCCTTTGTTTCCTCTTTAGGATTGTGTTTCCGGTCTCTTCTAAAGTCTACTTCAGCTCTGTAATCCTTGTCTTTTCCAACACTAATATATCTCCACACCATAACCCTCTATCTTGAGTAGCTCTTGGGCCTTGTATTGTGTGAACATTAGTGGAAAAAAAAATTAGCTCGCATATTGGGCTCTCTCTATAGGAATAGATGTTCGACTATTGCTCGGTTTACACTCTTCTTCAGCCTTTTTAACAAGAGTAGAAGTGTATCCCTTATTTCTTGTTTAGGGCTCGCTTTCCACTTCCTTGTAATGGCTTTTCATTCTCTTTTATACCAGTAGCCCCGTGTATTGTCTGGTTTGGTGTCAATTGATTCAAACAATTTTTTTTTTTCATGAGAAGTGAGGTACCCACTTATGTTTTATTTTTGACAATTAATTTTAAACGTAAAAACAAAATTAGTTGTGGTATGTGTCATTTCCCTCCAGGACACATGGCCGATCATGGCTCTCCTCAAATCACAATCCTTTGTGAACTCTCAACATTTTGTGTTTCTTTTACTATTCTTCCCAGTTTCTGTTCTGACATTTTGTTGTTTTACTTAAGTCCTCTTATCTTCACTATGTCCAATGAGTGTCAAATTCGCCAAACCCTGTTTCCTCATTATGCGTCTCAGGAATTTCAAGTTTTCGCTTTCTAATCCGAAATTTAAGTCGAGTTTTTGGGTCTTATTTTAGTTAAAAACTTCCTTCTTGCTCACATGTGCTGTCCATGATATTCTCAGGATATAACTTATAGAGGATAGTGTATCTGAAACATTCTCGTCTCGACCTACTTCTCAGAAAATAGATCAAATGACCAAATATCAGGATTTGGCGCGTGTGTGTGTGTCGGGGGGGGGTTTAGTCCGTTCCTGGCAAAAGCCAATATATTTTACTACCTCCTCCTGCTCATCTCTCACACACACACACACACACACACACACACACACATATATATATATATATATATATATATATATATATATATATATATATATATATCCATGTTTATGTAAGAAAATATATTCACATACAAAACCTGTTTTGTGTGTGAATGCCGAGGTAAATTCTCCCTTTATTGTCTCTCTTTTTCGTCTCACTCTTTCTCTCAGTCTCTCGTTCTTTCTCTTACACTCTTTCTCTCTCCCTTTCTCTCTACATATATAATCTTACGTGTGTGTATGTGTGTGTGTGTGTGTGTGTGTGTAATTGCTTTTCACTCTTTCACCCTTGCATCCGGCAGTATTTTCGGAATACCTTTGAAGTGTCAGATTCTTCGTAATTCTTGAAATGGGGCCAATCGGATTGAGGAAAGAAATTTTCGACACAATGCAGCGCAAAGCCGAGTTCTGAGGCAAACGCCATTTTCTCGAAAGAAAGCGCCGATTCTTATCTTTCATTTGGGTTAACTATTTTCAGATCGGAACTGCAGCTGCCACAAGACATTTTCGAAGAACTTTCTTTTTCTGACCTTCGAATCGCTCAACCCGTCTAACTAAAACTCCTTCCTTCCTTCCTTCCTTCCTTCCTTCCTTTCTTCCTTCCTTCCTTCCTTCCTTCCTTCCTTTGATTTTCTTTTCTTCACTGGCATTTTCCTTTTGTGTTTGGATTCTATTCTTTCGACTTTTTATAATTATTAAAAAGTTAGACATAAGGCCATAACCGTGACGAAAATTCTCTATGTATTAAATTCTCTGAAAATGTTCTGATTTGGATGAGACAAATTTGCTTACCAATTATTTATGCGAAACCGTTTATTTGATACCTATTTTAAAATTTAGCTCAGTCTTCAAGTCTTTGGCGCTGAAGATCGTCATCTCTACAATAGTGTATGAGAAATTTGCATTTTCTTCTCTCGAAACCATGCTATCATTCAACATAGTCTGGTACAAGATCATTTGTTTTGGGGAACACCCCGTATGCTGTAAAACCAATAACCTTTTTGCATCCTTTATTTCGCTTTTTTTTGTTTTTTTTTGCTCTTCATATTTTTCTCTTTCCTTTTTTCGTCATTAATAGATAATTCCTTACCGCATGTATTCGTGTATAAGCCGACTTCATGTATAGTGATTTCTGAGCTTGGTTTTTGGCATGAATTTTAACTGCTCCAGAAAATAATTACCTGTGTATAGTGCAACCAGATACCGAAAATGCTTGATTTTTGTGGTCTTCAGAAAATGATTTACCTGTCTATAGAACAAGTGCATATTTTTTGCGTTAGAAAATGATCATAAAAACTCGCCTTATACACGCATATATATGGTATTTATTCTTATTTTTCTTTTATTTTTATTTCTCTTCGCCTTTTTATTATTTACAAAATTATTTCCTTTAATATTCGTCCTTTTTTGTCTGTCTGTTATCTATTTTTGTTTTGTATTTGTTTTGATTTTCTGTTTTCTTAGAGACGTGTTTCAAATTCTTGAAGAATTCTAATTTGTGTCTTTGCTTCCTTCTCTCCTTCAGAACGAAAGATCTATATATTTGGATAAATCCCATTTAACCTCGTAGAAATAATTAGCTTGTCCATTTAATCCCTTTTCCGTTCATTTCTTTATATTTTCTTTCTTTTCATTTATTGTTTTTTTCTGTAAAACTTCTTTCTCCCTTCTTTCTTTCTTTCTTTTTTCTTTATTGTTTTTCCCTTCTTTCTTTCTTTCTTTCTTTCTTTCTTTCTTTCTTTCTTTCTTTCTTTCTTGTTTTTCCTTGTTTTTCCCTTCTTTCTTTCTTTCTTTCTTTCTTTCTTTCTTTTTTCTTTCTTGTTTTTCCCTTCTTTCTTTCTTTCTTTCTTTCTTTCTTTTTTGTTTTTCCTTGTTTTTACCTTTTTTCTTTCTTTCTTTCTTTCTTTCTTTCTTTCTTTCTTTATTGTTTTTCCTTGTTTTTCCCGTCTTTCTTCCTTTCTTTCTTTCTTGTTTGTTTTTCCTTGTTTTTCCCTTCTTTCTTTCTTTCTTTCTTTCTTTCTTTCTTTCTTTCTTTCTTTCTTTCTTTCTTTCCTTCCTGCCTTCACCATGACATTGATTTCTCTTCATTCGTTATTTCACGTTTGTATTATCTTTCTTTCTTTCTTTCTTTCTTTCTTTCTTTCTTTCTTTCCTGCCTTCTTTTGACATTCTTTTTTTCTTTTTCTTTCTTTTTCTTTTTTTCTTTTCTTTCTTTCTTTCTTTCTTTTTTCTTTCTTTCTTTCTTTCTTTCTTTCTTTCTTTCTTTCTTTCTTTCTTTCTTTCCTGCCTTCACCATGACATTGATTTCTCTTCATTCGTTATTTCACGTTTCGATTATCTTTCTTTCTTTCTTTTCTTTCTTTTTTTTTCTTTTCTTTTTTTTTTGTTTTTTTCCTTGTTTTTCTTTCTTTCTTTTTCTTTCTTTCTTTCTTTCTTTTTTTCCTTGTTTTTCCGTCTTTCTTTCTTTCTTTCTTTCTTTCTTTTTTTTTTTTTTGTTTTTTTTCCTTGTTTTCCCTTTTTTTTTCTTTCTTTCTTTCTTTCTTTCTTGTTTTTCCCTTCTTTCTTTCTTTCTTTCTTTTTTTTCTTTTTTCCCTTCTTTCTTTCTTTCTTTTTCTTTTCTTTCTTTCTTGTTTTTTACTGTCTTCTTTCTTTTCGATTTTTTTTACTGTCTTCTCATTCGATATTATTTCTTTCTTTCTTTGTCTCTTTCATTTCTCTTTTCTTTTACTTTTGGTTCTCAGTTTTAAACTCTTTTCTTTTTGTCTTTCTTTTCTTTCGATGTTGCTGTTTTTTGATTTGTTTATTTCTGCTTCTAGATTTTTCCTTTCATTGTTTCTTTAATTTTCTAATCGTTTGCTTTAATCAGTTTTCTCTATCTTTTCTTTCCTTATTTATTTGTGTTTTTCTTTTATTCCGTCTATTAACGTTTCTTTCTTTTTTCTTTGCATTTATTATTTTTACTTCTGCTTTTACACTTTTTTCTTTCTTTTGTTTATTCCTTTTTACCTTTCCCTTTATTTTTGCTTTTAATCTGTTTTCTCCATTTGTTTATTTTCCTTTCTTTTAACCTGTTTTCTCCTTTTTCTTTCTTAGCTTAGATGTGGCACATGGCCAAAAGTGTGGAGCACCCAGTTAAAATTCCAACACACTACTCAACTGTAATTGATCTTGCGAAACAATCTTGCTAATCCACTTCGAAGTATCCATAAACAAATGATTATGATCATCTTTTAGAACAATATATTTAGTGTTTTTCTTTTCTGCTAATTGCAATATGGCTGTTCATATTTTTTCTTTTCATTTACACTTTTTTTCTTTCTTTTCTCATCTCCTTTTCGCTTTCTTTCTTTCTTTCTTTGTTTTCATTGGCCTTTTTTCATTTCCGATCTCCTTTCAGTTTTTGTTTCTTTTTTTTCTTCTTTTTCATTGGCCTATTTTTTTTCTTTTCGCATCTCCTTTTCTTTTTTTCTTTCTTTCTTTTTTCTTTCTTTTTCAATTTACCCTTTTTCTTTCCTTTTCTTTTCCATCCTTTCTTTTCTTTCTTCGTTTTCTGTCTTTTTTTCTTTTTTTTTCTTTCTTTCTTTTTTTCATTTTTTTTTTGTTTCTTTCTTTCTTTTTAATTTCACTCTTTCTCTCTTTTACCTACCCTCTTTAATTTAATTTAACTTTTTTCTTTCTTTCTTTAAATATCCGTTCTTTTCGTTTTTTGTCTTTTTTTTTTTTTTTTATTTGTTTCCTTCTTTTTTTCTTTTTGCTTTTTTCTTTTGTTTTAATTTCCTTCTTTCTTTTCTTTTATTTCCTTCTTTTTTCTGTTTTTTCTATTTTACCTTTTTTCCTCTTTCTTTTTTTTTTTCTTCCTTTTTCGTTTTTTTTCTTTCTTTCTTTAAATATTCTTCTTTCTTTCTTCTTTTAAATTTCATTTTTTTTCTTTCAATATCCTTCTTTATTTGTTTGAATTTCCTTCTTTTTTCTTTTAATTTCTCTCTTTTTTCTTTTTAATTTCTTTTTCTTTTTTTTTTTTTATTTTTCCTTTTTCTTTTTTTTTTAATTACCCTGTTTTCTCTTTTAATTTCCTTCTTTCTTTCTGTTCATTTCCCATATTTTCCTTTAATTTCTTTCTTTTTACCTTTCTTTTTTTCCCTCTTTTTTTATTTTTTCTTTCTTCTTTTTTTCATTATTTAATTTTCCTTTTTCTTTTTATTTTATTTCTTCTTTCTTTTTCTTTTCATTCTTTTTTCTTTTAATTTCCTTTCTTTTAATGTTTTAATTTCTTTTTTTTTTTTTTTTTTTTTTTAATTTCTTTTTCTTTTAATGTTTTTCCTTTTTTTTCTTTTAATTTCCTTTTTTTTAATTTCTTTTTTTATTTTTTTTAATTTCCCTTGGTTTCTGTTTTTTGTTTGTTTGTTTGTTTTTAATTTCCTTCTTTCTTTCTTTCTTTTTTTAATTTCCTTTTCTTTTCTTTTCTGTTTCTTTTAACCAACTATAACTGGAGTTTCTGTGCCCCAATTACCACATTTTTTTTAATTTTGCCTTCATTTCTTTTAGGGTCCACCCAGAGACTTTCAGAAATGGCATCATGACATTTTCCACTAACAATAAAAAAAGAAGAAAAAACAACAACACACATATTTTTATAAAGCCCTTTTGAGAACAATTTTTGTATTTTTTAATTTCTTTTGTTTCATTGAATCTTTTCTTTTCCAACTTTTTGATTTTGATGTTCCTCTTTCAAGGTCCTTTTTTTCTTTTGAAGATTTCAAAGGACTTTCAATTTATTTTTGTTACCACCCTAATAACAATGTTAGGCGATTTTTGAATTTCCTTCTGTATTTAGTCCATAGAATTTTAAATTATCTCTTACGGGTTGGTGGTTTTACCAATTTCTTTCAGTTTCCTTCCCTTTCAGATTTTTTTTAATTTGGCCCACTCTGTCATTTTTTTTTAATTTGCAACCTGATACAATTGGTCCTTTCTGGATATTTATCCTTCAGAATCAGCATTTTTCCTTTTCTCTTTTGGGATATATCTATTACTTTCAACCAAAATTTCATTTTAATTTCCAATTGGTTTCGACGTTTAATTTGTTTGTTTTTTTGTTTCTTTCTTTCTTTCTGTTAATTTCCATCTTTTTTTCTCTTAATTTCACTGCCTTTCTTTCTTTTTAAGCCGCTCCGAATCTTCACTGCCAACCTCTGATATTTCTGATTCTTTATTCAGAGACTCTCAATTTCTTCAAACAATTTTTCAGTATGTGTGCTTGATAATTTCTAGTTAAGACGCACAGATCCTGCAGCAAGTATAAAACATACATTTTCTGTTTAACCCTCACTACATAACCACTGACGGGTACGGGGTTTCTCTACATCACCTTGTCTGGTATGGGCAGAGTATTGACCGTGGAGGGGTTTATCTTGAGAGCGTTTCTGTATTTGGTCGGTTCTGCTTTCTTTTTTTAAGTATTTTGCAGCTTCAGTCGGTGTATTGTGCTTTATTTGTATTTCTGCAACCATTTCAAACCTCATTTTGAAGCTTCGGAATAAAAAACTATCATGGATCAAAAAGTATTATTATTATTATTAATTATTATTATTATTATTAATCATCATTATTTTTTATGGACATATACCTAAAAGTCTTCGGAAGGTGTGGGCGTGTGTGTTGTTATGGCTACATTTCATGTTAATTTTTTTTTTTTTTTTTTTTTTTTTTTTATCTCCGATGAAGTTGGTAGCGTTACATAGACAAATCCTTCAAATTGTGCTGTACTTAATAAGACAATTTTCTGTATGTCTCTTCTGGGGTTTCCAGGGATTCTTTCAATGTGTTGTTTTGTTCCATTTTTTTAATGTTCCCCTATTACCACTGGTATTATTTTGTTTTCAATTTCCATTTTTTCTATTTCAATTTCAGGTCTTTGTATTTTGATAGTTTTTCAAATTTGGTTGATCTTCAATCCGCTGGACGTGCCATATCAATTAGTAGGCAAGTTTTTTTTTTTGGTTTTTACAATAATGTCTCTATTTAACAATTTTTCTGTTGTGGATGGTATAATCCCATAGAATGGTGACATCTTCTATTTCTGTAATTGCTTCGATGTTCAGTGTTTGCTTACACATTTTCCAAAGTGTTTGCCCATTGTCCAATTAAGTATTAACTCTATCGTGTCGATTTTTTATATTCATTTGTATAGAACATCCTGAGATTAGATGGTCTATTGTTTCTTGGTATTTGTCACAGAACCTGCATTTTGGATCCACATTATTATGTATGATATTTCTTTGAAAGACTTTGGTCTTGCGCTGCAAGAATAAAGCCTTCAGTTTCAGACTTTTTCCAGATGCTCGTAACCATCGATGAGTATTAACTTTATCAACATTGGGTTTTTTATATTCTGGATATTGGCCATGGGTTTTGTCCCAGCGTTGTTTCATCTGTTCAAGGGCTTTATCCTTGGCTTTCTTTTTTTCATATCTTTTGCTGCAATAGTTGTTTCTTGGATTTTGATTTACTACAGAATCTACTAAATGTAAATGTTGTTTGTATTTACTGGCCTTCTTTTATTATTGAATATTTTTCTTTCTGTTTTCATGTTTTTCACTAATTTTATCATCAGTCATATGTTGTTTAGTTAGTCAATAGTTGTTGTCTTGTATGACAATTCTAGCTGAATAAGACCTCTTCCACCTTTTTACGGGGTATGTATCCTACATCAGCCTTTTGGATGATTAATCTTAATTAGAAAACGCTCAAAATATTCAATCCGACGTCATATTGCCTTCTAGAGTCCATAAATTGGCACTGGGATGGCAAGGTTTTAATGGCCATAATTTTTTCTGAGAAAAATATCTTCACTGCCAACTTCTTTCTGATATTTTTCATTTTCATTTTCTTATGGTGAATTCCTTCTGTTCTCTCATTTACACTAACAGTACTCTACTTTCTCCTTGTTCTAAATCTTTTATTGTTACAGCAGGGTCCAACCTAATAGAGGAATTGTAAGGATCCTCACAAAACGGACTTCACATTTGGAATTTCATTCCAATGTCTTCAGAAGATTTTTACAGTTTGCAGAAGACCTTCCAGCTCATTGTCATTTAACAAACAATTTTTTCATCCATGTAAAATAGATGGTTTATTTTCTTTTTGAGCTATTTTAAGCATTCTGTCTTGTTGTTGGCTGGTTAATACCTAAGTGATATGCAAAATAATAAAAACAAAGAGTCACCTTGAAATATTTCTATTGATGTTTATTTCCCTGACTTATAGGTTCCATTTTTGATTGAGGTAAACAGGTTTTTTATCTACATACATTGTTTTGATGAAATTGATGATAATGGTGATACCTTGTACATACTTAAAGACTTTAAGATCCGTGAATGGGTACACTATCGAATGCTTTACGATAATCTATCCAGGCGTTACTGATTTTTTTTTTGGTCAGTTTTCAGGATCATCCTATTTTTTAATTGGTTTTACATCCGTTCAGTCGTTTGCACCCTTTTGTTCAAGTTTATTTGTCATTTCTTTCCAAGAAGAAAAATGTCTGTTTTGTTAAAATAGATGTAGTTTGTATGTTGTTGGAATAAAATTGGTCTATAGTTTTTCGGAATATTTGTGTCACTATTTTTCATGGAGAAAAGTAATCCTATTTGGTCATTTTTGCAGAAGAAATTTTATTTTATTATTATTATTATTATTATTATTATTTATTATTATTTTCTTTGATTTCTGGCGTTTACATTTCTTTCCGGGTCCCTTGAGGGACCTAAGGTTAAAAATGGCATCATGACACTTTCCACTGACAAAAAAAAAAAAAAAATTACATAGATAAAGCCCTTCGTAAAGTGTCGGCTGTACTTGTCAGAACAATTTTTTCTATCTCCTTATTATTATTATTATTATTATTATTATTTAACCATCATTAAATTACGTACCATGATGCAAGTCGAGAATATACGTCTTTTCAGTCAACGTCATAAATTACTCACAAACTTTTCCTTATTTTTACCAACGACCTTCACAATATCATCTGTTCCCGACTCATTAATTATTGTGATAACGCAAATA